AGAAATTGTTTTAATACAATATCTAAGTATATAATACTCATTTTATGTATACAAACATACATGTAGAAATTGTTTTAATACAATATGTAAGTATATAATACTCATTTTATATATACAAACATACATGTAGAAATTGTTTTAATACAATATGTAAGTATATAATACTCATTTTATATATACAAACATACATGTAGAAATTGTTTTAATACAATATGTAAGTATATAATGCTCATTTTATGTATACAAACATACATGTAGAAATTGTTTTAATACAATATGTAAGTATTTTATGTATACAAACATACATGTAGAAATTGTTTTAATACAATTTGTAAGTATATAATACTCGTACAAACATTATGGAAGGAACTTGTAGTTCAAAGTAAGTATGGCCTGGTGGTTAGGGTGCTGGACTTGCAATCTCCGGGTTGAAAGTTCAAATCCCATCACTGAACGTGCTTACCCTTTCTGCCATTATAATGTGACACCATTTGGTGGTGGATGGGGTTGACTAGCTGCTGTACCTCTAGTCTATCACTTCTAAATTAGGGATGACTAGTTCAGATAGCTCTCAAGTAACTTTGTGCAACATTTAAAACAACAGTGTTTGTAACATTTTTGATTATATAATCAATTTAGTTAAGTGATACTTTACAATATTGAAAATGTGTTGTTTTTTGGTGGTCAGGTAATATATTTTTTCTTTTTAGATCACATGTACTTCAGAAGGTTTGCCAGTACTTCACATACAAAGTTCGATATACCAATAGTTCCACAGAGATCCCCGAGTTTCCCATCGCCCCGGAAATTGCTCTTGAACTCCTGATGGCAGCAAACTTTTTAGATTGCTGAACTTAATTTTTTACCTAAAAAATTAACTTGGTTTGGTTATTTTTTGTTTGTTTGTTTGTTAATCGAAATTTTCAGTCTTGGTTATTGCAGTGTTTTCTGAAGGTGTGTGGGTGAACAGCCAAAGTAACCTGTTAAATGAACATAAAGAACTATTGTATGTGAAAAGAAAATAAGTACATGTATCGTACACAGCAGCCAGTTGGTGCTGTTGTTCAGTAAGTAGATGTACTAAATTGAACAAACGTAACTGGACATTGTGGCCTCATCTGCAATCATTTTAAAATGTTATTTTTCAAATGTGATTTTAAACTTTCAAAGCATACCAGGTGAATCATATTTTTAGGGCTTTGATCCACTGAATAAGTTATAGTAAAATTATTTTAATACTGAGTATTCCTGTTTGTTTACTTTTATTTTGTGCTTTTTTTTATTTTTATTTTTTTGTCACAAAAATTCAAAACTATAAATGCTTCTTTTTTTTTGAAATAATAATGTTATTTTTATTTTATAAAACACTGATGACTAGGCATTGCTGTTGGAATCTTGCAAGCTTGTCACAATCTGATTGGCTAAAATGGATTTACTCTTAGCCTGTGATAGGCAGATCAGCTGTGCCTTCAGTTTACGTGCTGCTTGAAATACCTGCTCAGTATGTAGCTCCAAGAAACAGCACTGCTGTCATTGTTTTTGTAGAATTATTCTGCTATGTTCGGGCTATCTTCCTTCCATTATAGTAGATTTGTTCAATGACAGAACATAATATTTTTTCAGTACTCTCACCTTATGCTAATATTTTAATGCATTAACTAGCTTGGCTCAAAAACTAACATTTTCTAAATATGTACGAGATTTATCATTTGGTATTAAAATCAGAACTTATGTTTGAAATGTTTGTACCGGAGCTTTCCTCGGCAAGGTTCAGTTAGCAAGATGTGGTTTGAACTCGAGAAACAAAAAGTGATAAAATAGTGAAATATTGCACTTAATATTAGACTTATACTAACTTTAATCCCTTTTTTGAAACCTTGCAATGCCGATGTTCTTTTTTAGAAGCACCTTTGAAAACTTTATTGTACGTAAAGGTTTCATTCCCGCTAAAGTTTGTGGATAAATGCATGTTGTTGGGGTTAAGTGTTGTGTCCAAATAACTAGTTAAATGTTTTAATTAGTGGTTTGAAGCTAAAGTCTGTAATTTAATTTAAGAGTGTAACCCTTGTATCCATTGAGAACACCAAAATAATTTGTAAATGTTCTATTTTATTTGTTTAAAATTCTTCTGTTTTAGGCTGGAATTATGCAAAGAGGTTATGAGAGGTGTGAAAAAAGAAGTTCTCTGTAAAAACCTGATACAAGAAATGTAGTTCTGTTTATATAGGGTCTTTGTCAAAAATGTTTATATGTTGAAAGAGACAGAGATGTAAAGACAAAAAATAGAGAATTTCATATATCTTACTTCAAGGTAGTCAACACAAAATGTTCATTAATTATACTTTCAGTTTGTGATCATTGAAATTAAATCTTTTACTTAATGAAGCCATGTATCACACTCACAATCATTTTATAAAATTTCAAGAGATTATCCTTCCATTCTTAATTACTGTTCTCATATATGATTAAATTACTACTACTCTACTGGTCTTGTTACACCATAGTCAATATTGTAAAGGATAATTATGCAGAACTTCGTAGCTTGAGATAAAAAGTTGCCTGATTGGTTTGAGACAGATGTATGGGAATAGTAGCCACACATAAATAGAAATATGATGTAAACGTGTGTCGGAAAAAGTAATACAATACCACATACATTGGGGTGAAAACACGAACGTCCTGAGTGGTAGTACAATAAGAAGGAATTAATAAATATGTGAAGTAAAAATTTATAACTTGTTAATTTGAGAACAGTGAGACAATAGCATTTTAGTATTCAATAAATGTGTTGTGAATTACAACTAATGACAAAGATTGTTTAGTGTCTATAAGTTATTCTTTTATTTAGATGTAGAATGGAGAAGTAGAAACAGTATAATGTAGAATAATTTCCAATTCCTGCTATTAGTTTGTAGATATCTTTTTTTTTGATCCTATGAAAGTACAATGTGTTATAAAGCTTCAGCTGTAACATACTTTACATTTAGGTGTGCCAGTAGTACACTGTAGTCATCATTAAATGCTCATACTTAATATATCTTCAATGAAAATAATACGTGTGTGAGCTTTCACTGTTTTATCAAGCACCAGCTCAAGGCCTAAACGGGTTCACAGCATCTTCACGTTACAACCGTGCAACTTGCATATTAAAATTAATATTTGTAGATGTTTTGTTACGGAGAGTTGGAAAATGCAGTTCAAATCTGTTTGTAGGTAATGCATAGTTTAAGACTAATATTTCAAGAATTCTCATACATACCTTAACAATTAATAGTTTGCAATATTTTGGTGTCAAATATGTACTACTTAAGATGTTGTATGAAATTATTCACAGAGATTTGAGACAGATAAAACGTCAGTGTTTCCACTTAAATGAATGTGTTCATGTATTTATATGCTTCTAATGAACAGAACATTGTGTAAACTTTTTAAGCTTCAGGCTATTATCTGTGTTCAGATATTTATCTCCTCAATTTTATTACAAGTAGCTTGAAAACTATAGGCAGTGGTTGAGTTGGATTGAAACATCTAACCTGATGTCTATCAGAATGGGTTGAACAGTATATACAAATATGGTATGTTTATGATATGATGATCTTTTACTTTAGATCCGATTAAACATCCAAGATGGAAGATAATATATCACGTAGACAATAGATTTAGTTTCACTACTGAAATTTAGGTTCTTAACATGTCTAAAACTGTAACAGACTCAAGATCATAGTGTGCGTACATCAAACTGACATAATAGATATGTTGTAACAATAGCTCTAAAGGAGATATATTAACTTTAGGGTGGAGAGAAGTAATATGTCATTTTTGTGACAAGACTATCTAGTCTCGTTAAAACTCCCCTATAATATCATTTGTAAGTCCTGCTGAAACACTGTATGGCTTCAGAGATCTACTGAATAATTTCTGTAACCTCAGTGAAATTATGTTGCTAAAAAAACTTGAGACATTATGTTAAATATATTAAACAATCTTTGCCACGACTCAAGATACTCACTGAATAGTTTTGAAATTTTTATGATGTCTGTTAAGAACCTTGGAATGATAAATCATGCTTACTATAATTTTATGAAATGATCAAACTAGGCTTTCATAATTTTGTGTTTGACATAAGATACAGACAATAAGAGAGTCATTTGGTCCTTCAAAGCTTTCCTTGCACACCCACACTTCTGACAAGTAAATATTTAAAACCAATTTTCAGGAAATCATTAGATCCCCTCATAACCTCCCATCAAGTGGTGGCTGATGGAAACTCATTCCATAAGTCAGTCACCCTTTTGAAAAATTTAAACTATTTTAACTGAAGCCTAAGCCTGCCTTTTTCCAAGTCTTAATTTTTGTGTTCATAATATATTGCAAAGAAATTAGAGGACTTTATCCTATCAATCCGTAGGATAGTCTTGTAAACTTCAGTAAGATCACCTCCTCGTACCCTTCTTTTGTCAAGAGAAAATAAGTTAAGAGATCTTAACCTATCCCTTTAAGACAACCCTTGAATCATCCTGGTACCTCTTATCGGCCTTTCCAGTAAGTCAGTATCCTTTCCTCGATAAGGAGATAACAAATATATCCTGTATCCTTTTGATTTCTAATCATTGGGTCTTATGAGTACATCCTAAAGTTCTATTAACTTTACTGCTACCAACAGAGAAACTGCTTCAATGGCTTGAGTGAATTTTCCACCAAGATCCTTTACTTCAGTCGCACTGTTAAGTGTTTCCCATTCTATATTAACAATGTGAACAAATGATGATAATCTAAATGCATTAACTTGCACCTACTATAATCAAAGATACAAGTCATTCTGTAATACCTTAACATCCTATATATTGCTAGAAATGCCCAAGTGTTTATTTTCACCTGCAAACTTTAATAACTTAACGGTTATGTCTCCATTAATGTAAGTAAGAAAAATCAAAGGTCCAAGCACTGATCCCTGATTTTCTCCCAGTCTTTAGTAAGCCAATTAGGGTTAATTTTCTATATCCTTTTCTTTCTTTGTTTATTAGGAATGTATGACTATTTTGTATTAAAGAATCTTTTAACTGATCATTCCCAATTGCTAATGTTAATTCTTGTCTCGTGGCCTCAAAATCGACCTTTTGAAAATTAAGATACTAAAATTTCGTCTATATCTCAACGTGTAGTAGATATTCCCCCAATTCAACTCTTTCAACTAATTAGGACTATGAAAGGGTTGAATAAGCTTATTAAATAACTTGTCAGACCTGCTACATAACATTTGTGCTAGAACTAATATCGCCTGCTGTATTGACTAACTAGGCTTGACTTGATAACCTTTGTGAAATAACGAATTAGCCTTAATTATTCTTTCCAACTCAAATTACTAAACTTACGAAATAAACTGTGTAAAATGACCAGCAACTGTGTTGTGAGATAGAAACTTGACCTGGTAAGTGCACTAAAAGGCATGTAATAGGTCTAAACTGACTTTTAAACACTTGGTAGATGGAAGGGGAATGGCCAAGTCCACCACTAAGCATTAAAATATACTTGCCAAGCATCACCAGTAACATATTCCCGTGTCAAACAGCTAGTGAAGGTTATTAAAAACTTCAGTGCTTCAAAATAATTTTCCTACCATGATGGAATAATGGAAGATTTAGTGACATGGTAGTTAGTATGATCATGAATACCTTGGGTCACTCAGCAACATTCTTTTATGAATATTTTAGTACACTCATTTGTTGTAAAGTTTAGAAAAATTTGTTACATAATAAATATCAAATTTAAAACTTTATTGTGTCTGTTTTCAGTCAATAGAACAACATCAAACTGTCAAGTTCTTTATTTACATGATCTATTGAGTTTTTATGTAAAGAATTTCCAAAGGTGTGCGATGTGTTTGTTTAATATATTGAAATCGTCAATATAACTAAATCTTTCTGTAAGTAGTAATAGGCATGCAAAATCACACTTGACAAACGTGTGTCAGAAATTAAGTTGTTTTTTTATTCAACGGTTGTCTAATACATATTGTTGCGTCAGGGTGTCATATGACTAGTGTGACGCCACGTTTCTAGAACTATCCCGTACCTTGGCGAATGCTCTAGTATTT